AGCAGGGGGTGGTCTGCAGAGAGCCAGCCCCAGAAGCACGGAGGAGAAGGGTGGGGTGAGATCTGCGAGACAGGAACTTAACAACTGGCACAGTAATTCTGGGAAAAAATCAACCCTTCTGAGTCTCCGTTTTCCTTGTCTGTGAAATGGGGACGGCATGGGGACTATCAACTACATAAAACTTGCTATAATACCTGAAAAAAGTAGCTATCCCATAAAATTCCCTTCCCCATTCTCCAAACTGTGGCAACAACTAAAACATGAAAACAAGCATGTGTGAGAGCTAACACTCAGTATATGTGCCTATGAGACATCCAGATTTTCTCATCTCATCAGTTACCATATGTGAAGTGGAAGGTTGGTCTTATTAGGTTTTAACCTATCCATTTGGCAAAGTTTGACAATCTGCACACCCATTTCACATTCACACACACACAGATGTATATGCATACATGTTCCTTTTAATCCCAAACAAACAAACAAAAAAACTCTCCATAATGAAGGCAAAAGATATAAATGTGATCAAAACACAAAACGGGATGAACTCAAGTACTAATACTAGGAATCAGAGTACTCTCAATGATGTTGAAAAAGTATATATTGAATAAAATTTTAGAGTGTGTTGATTTATTGCTGTTTTTCAAAGCCAGTATTGCAAAATTATGAAAGAAGGAAATGATAGGTATGTGTGTCATTGGTGAAAAGCAAAAATCACTAATTTCATCTGGGGCTTCACTAAGAGAAGTACGGCGTCCAAAAAGAGGCAAAGAACAAGACGTCTTTATTCAGCACTGAACATCACATTTTAGGCTGAACATTAACAAACTAGAGCTTTGTCAGTGGCTCAGAACTAGAAAAAATTGTGGTTAAAGGCTAGTCTTTTCACAAATGGTTGGACGAACTCATCACATTTAATTTGCAAGAGAGAAACTGATGGTGATTACATGGAGCTGACACTCCAGTGCCCCAAAATGAACAGAGTAATCATGAAGCTTCACAACACAATGGATCAGATTATTATCTGGAAACACAGCTCAGAAGATCTTCCGGTAAAAGTGTGACCACAGAGGTCTGGGAATCCCAAATATAGCCAAGGTGATTTGAGGGTGAACAAAATCAGGGAAGAGGTAACAGAATGTAACCATAACTAAGCTGAAAATGGAAAAACTATTTAGAATTCTGCTCAAAGAAAGAATGTGTTATCTAAAGGGAAATACTCAGCATAAAGACTAGAAAAAAGACAAATTAAGTGGAAAGAATAAATTGCTACACTTCCAAGAAAGAAAGGAGAAAATCACTGAACTTGATCTGTTTTTAGTTTATTCTCATTAAACAACCCTTTTATAATACGGTTTCCCACGTAGATTTCCCCATTTTGTTGTTTGTCATTTAGTGGTTAAGTTGTGTCTGGCTCTTTTGCGACCCTGAGGACTGCAGCCTGCCAGGCTCCTCGGTCCATGGGACATCCCAGCCAAGAACAGTGGAGTAGGTTGTTATTTCCCTCTCCAGGGGATCTCCCCTGGATATCTACCCCATAGACAGAACACAACTGCAGCACACCAATTCCAGTTTGCTTGATAATCATAATCTTCACTTTCTCAGCAAAAAAGTACCAGAAGCCAGACTACACTGAACTAATAAGCAAGAAAATAATAAAGAAACAGAGGCATCAAGCATAGGACACTCTTTCAAGAAATCTGGCTGGGAATCAAAGGAGAGTGTCATAAAGAGATCTGTTTCACTTCAGCCATAATAGGATCTTTCCACCAGCCATTAAACACAGCCACTCTGCGGAGAGCTAAGGGATAAACCCGTGAAGATGCACCAACCACAGTGTCAATCCAGAGAAACAGATTCTCTGTAAATGGAGACACTAACATGGGCATCTTCTACTCATTTCCTCTGTGAGTGAACATTCTGGGTCCAAACAAATGGGTTTCTTAGAGTCTGTTTTTTACTTTGAGAATACATTTTCCATGACGAAAGGCCAGTGGGAAAAACACAATTCAGTTTGCAATGTTGTAAAAAAAATAAAAATCACTTTTCTGGAACATATATGCTTAGTTAACTGACAATTTAATAACAATTAAATTAAAGCTCTTGGAAAGCAGGCATATGTTTATATGTGAAATGACAAAATGAATTTTTTCTTTCTTTTAGCAATTTAACTTTTTTCTCCTAAGAGAATGATGTTTATTTCCCTTCATGCTCATGATGTTTTAATATGAACTTACCTTTTACTGGGAAATTTTATATTTAAGAGCTGAGCTTTCAATCATGGGATCCCTCCCTATGAATTTCAATATAAGAAAAATCTTCAACCTAGAATTAAAATATCTGTTTAATGTCTCCAAATACTAGAAGCCTCTATCACAGTCAGAAGAATGTATACTTCAGTAGAATTTACAGCAGGGGTTGAACAGCGCATAATTTAAATTTCACATTTTTTAATGCTGCTAGAAAAAGGATTTCCGCTATCTAGGATATCAGAACATGATTTCTTTTTTCTTTTATGATAAGCAGTTTTCAAATACCAACATTTTATTTTGTTTAAATTCCAGCCTTTTCCCTTGCTGTTCATGGTTATGTATCTGTTTGTAAATGGGAATGAGACACACCAGAAATTCTGACCAGTGATATGAAGCAGAAGTGCATAGCTGTAATGTGTTATCTTTTCCTAAATTACCAGTTGGCACATAGATAGAACATGATTTGGATCAATCTTTTTGGTCCTTCTTGCAACAAAGGGTGCTAACAATTGTCTGATTCTTTCCTTCTCCCCCCAGCCCCTCACCCATGTCTGGAGTTTGGGAATAAATCAAAACCATCTTATCGTTTTTTTTTTTTGTCAACAGAAAACTCAAATATTTAAACTGAATTCCTTATGGGCTTACCCACTTTTTTTTTTCCTGGCTCTGATTATTTTTAAAAGATATAGAGCTTTAGAAATGTAAAGTGTTTTGAACTTTTAAGAGTTCTGCACTGATTGAGCAATAAAAGCTGATTTATGCTCTAGGATAGCATCATAAGATTTTATCACTGAAACACAATATAAATTAACCTTTCACTCAAACCTTCTGTGCATTCCTGCTTTTCTCTATTCACAATGTGAATTAGTTCTTATTTCAGCATATGCACAGATAAAGAACTATGCTAGGTAAACAAACCTTATTAATGGATACCTCTAACTGTGGGAAGAAGAAAGGAAGGAAGGAAGAAGGGAGGGAAGGAGAGAGGGAGAAAGAAAGAAAGAAAGAGGGGAGGCAGGGAGGAAAGAGTGAAAAAGAAACCAGAATTACAGCCAAACACCAGGATGACTCAAAGAAACAACTTTATTTCTACTCCAAAATAACATGTAGGATTCTGGCATTGGTTGTATGGAGATAGGATAATTTTATAAATAAAAAACACATTCTTTCACATTACAATGTCTAGATTTAAATTCCAGTCCTACTCTTTATCAGATGTATGGGCCCTGGGTACCATATTTTTTCTCTATTTTAGGTTATCTGAAAAATGTGATACTCACAGTATCAATCTCATAGAATTACTGTGAATTTTAAATAACACATGTAAAGAGTTAGAATAAGACCTGGTACATTGTAAGTGCTCAATAAATGTTAGTTACTTTCACTTTTCTTATCATCCTTCATGTTACTTAAAACCTTCATATGTAATCACTTAGCACACTGAGTTAGTTGTTTTTCATATTATGACCTTCTACATTTTTTTTTCTTCTGGGTTCATCCATATTTTTTTATTTCCAAAATTCTGGTCTTCTATTTCAACTTAACAGTTTGATTTTTTTTTTTTTGTACTCATCAGTAATCAAGAATTTGGGCGAGAAAGCTCAATAAGAAAAATTTACCCATCTAGTAAACTGTATTAATATTTATCAGATACCTAAGATCAGATTATAAAAGAAACCTTATTTTTAAAATAAAGAAATAAACCTTTGCAAGTTTCCAGAAATAAATTCTACCTACTAACCAGATTCAATATCCGTATTTAAATATTTCTAGGCAATGGCACCCCACTCCAGTACTCTTGCCTAGAAAAGCCCATGGACAGAGGAGCCTGGTGGGCTGCAGTCCATGGGGTCATGAAGAGTCAGACACAACTGAGCGACTTCACTTTCACTTTTCACTTTCATGCATTGGAGAAGGAAATGGCAATCCACTCCAGTGTTCTTGCCTGGAGAATCCCAGGGACAGGGGAACCTGGTGGGCTGCCATCTATGGGGCTGCACAGAGTCGGACACGACTGAAGAGACTTAGCAGCAGCAGCAGCAGCATATTAATAAAAGTATTTATTTCAAAAAAGGTAAAGCCAAGATTATTTTTCTCAAAACATTAGCTCTCTGATTTTTTAAATCAAAAGAAAACAGCAATTTAAAACTGAAATTTCACTAGCCCCTTCTTCTAATACTAAAGACAAAACTGCATTTAAAAAAAAAAAAGAGAGAGAAATGAGAAGAGTAAGTTATAAAATACCATGGTGAAGAAAGGGTAAGAGGGATGTGACCAGACAATCAGCAGACCAGTCTAAGAGTGAGGAGCCAGAACAGAATATGTCCATTTGCTCAACTGATTTCTCAGCATCATCATTCATTCATCAATTCAAATCCAATAAAAGATCATTTAACCACAGCAAGTGGGGAGTACGGGGGAGTGGGACAGAACGAAGGAGGAGTTCAGACGGATTCTAATCATTCTATGATTAGATGAAATAACTAACAGCGTGACCCTTTGTGGGCAAGGACTTGCCTGGGCTTCCCAAAGCTGAGTCTAAGGAAAGGGCTCATGGCTGAACCCCCCCCCCCGGGGGGGGGGGGGGGCATGTGTACAAATTCCTTTCCTACTCTTTCAACAGTTTAAAGATGTCTTCAATACTTTTACCTAGATGCCATGATGACTAGGTCGGCCCACAGATCAGAACAGGCTTGAAGGAACCTCCTCAGAGCAGGCGGTCATGGTCTGCTGGGGAAGCTGGTAACTCACCCATGCTCATCTTGATTGGCAGGTTTGCTCTGCTCGCTGCCTCCACTAGGTGTCTCCGGACTTCCATCACTGCCTCTTTGTGCCTGGTGTTCAGTAAGGCGTCCCACAGGGCTCTGGCTGCAGGGTCACTGCAATAAAGCCACAGAAAGAGCTTTAGAGTGCATTTCTACTAAATAATGGAAAGAGTAGCAAGCAAAACAATTTCTTCAGTGTCTTTTTTGAGTACCAATGTAGTCCTTCTAACTGATGGACCCTTAAGTATTAAAAGTATTAGGATTAAATAAAGAATATGTGACCTATTCTAAGCAGCACAAAATATTGAAAAATTAAGAAGACAGTAAAGTGGGGGGGGGGGGGGGAGTCATACTATACTATGAGAAAACTGTGTGATATCCTGAGAATTTGTATTTAAAAGTATTTCAGAGTAAACCTGAACACTGCTAGGTAAGTTATAAATGTTATGTAAGCCACAATTAAATACATGTCCAAAACTGATGTTATGATAAGCATATCAATTTCAGATAATACACCTGTCTGAGAAGCAGAAAGCAATCAGCAATGATTCAATGATTCAATTTTTCCTATACAAAAATTACTCAACTGAATCCCTAATGAGTAGATTTCCACGTGAATGGCAATCAGGAATTAGGTTAAGAAACCGTGCAAGCAGCGCACTTCGGGGCCTTGGGCTGCAAGGCCGGCACTGACGAAGCCTTTACAATGAACCGTTGATCAGCGCAGGAGGCACTGCGCTATGTGGGGCTCATCTGGCCTCACTTCTCCAGCAGCCCTCTGTCTCTCCCAGCGCGCCACGCTCCAATTATAAATGAGTACAGTGTTCTTTCCGGAAGATCTCTGCATGCAGCCAAGTATACACATTTGTAGGGACATTTTAAAAAAGTATAAAGAAACAAAGATTACTTCTGTCCCTGCCTAAGGACACTTCCCTCTACTTAAAGCCCCAGAAATACCTCCTACTATTCAGTTAGTTCAAACATTGTTACATTTTTTAAAGTTTCATCTTAAAAGTTATATCTAATAAGATATTAACTTAGCTTTAAGATTATACCTAACAAGGTATAACTTTCACATTTGAATGTGATTTGGAATAATGGAATGATGTATTTCAGGCTGAGTTTAGAGTCTGGCACATAATAACCTTTCATTAAAAGTAGTTGCTTTTATTATCATCTATTTTTTTCTCAGTGAACTAACATCACTGCTCAATATATTCCACTTGTTTTGATCTGACCAAAACTGTCATCATTAATATTAGAATTAATATTTTGTTTTAAGGAGCAGGTAAACTGCGTGCCAAGCCCTATTCTCCATGGTTAGAACACAGACCAAAAACATTAAAAAAGCCATGGCACAAGCTTTCAGTGATTTATTGTCTGGAAGAATAGGCAGACATATGAGCAAAGAAATTAACCCCCCCAAAAAAGCATGGAACGAGGCAGAGCCGATGCTGGCACAGATTTCTGTGGTGGTACAGAGGGGCTCCAACCCTCATTGGGAGGGCAGGGACTCAGACGGTGATCTCTACCAGAAATGATGAGCAAGTACACAGATACAAAAGCAGCCAACAGAAGAAATTATAACTCAAACTGGAAATTATATCTCAATCTTCAACAAAGATATAAAATCTTAGCCACAAAGCAAGAGGAAGGACATTTCAGGGCGTTCCAAGTCCAGGTCTTGACTGACTCTAAGAAGCACTGGTTTGCTCCGTGCTAAGGTGGAAGGGGGGGAGCGGCAGACGCAAGTGTGAAAGAGACGGTGGGAGCTCCTCTGGCGGCGGGGGGCCCTGCATCCCTTCCCAGGGTGCACTGACTTCAGCTGCAAGCGACAAGAAGCCAAGGAGCACGTGACTGATTCGCCTTCTGAGAAGAGGAACACAGCTCAGCAGTCATGAACAAAGGTTTCATCATCATTCAAAACTAGGACTACACCTAGAACTAAAAAACAATACAAGTGAATCTATTTACAAAGCAGAAACAGACAGATACAGAAAACAAATTTATGGTCACCAAAGGTCAAAGGGAAGAGGGGGAAGGATAAATCAGGAGAATGGGATTAACAGATACACACTCCTGTACATAAAACAGGTAAACAACAAGGATTTACTGTATAGCACAGGGAACAATGTTCAATACCTTCTAATAAGCTATAATGGAAAATAATCTGAATATATAATTGAATTACTTTGTTTCACACATGAAACTAATGCAATATTGTAAATCAACTACACTACAATTTTTAAAAAAAGAGTTTTAACTAGATCTATTTGCTATGGGGCTTTGGGAGAGTTACTTAATTTCTTTAAAGCTCTGAAGGCAATGGAGAACCACTGAGGAATTTTGAGAAAGGAAGATACACACCTCCCAGTTTCCCAAATTTATGGTCTATAATCAATCACTTCCTACTTTTATTCTCCAAAGCTCCTAAACCACAGATAAACCTCCTATACTCTCAATTCTACACACAGAACCTCTGCAGGAGAAACTGACTGGCCTCCTCTTCTCCATGGGGCTCCCCTGGCGGCTAAGCAGTAAAGAATTTGCTTGCAAAGCAGGAGATGTGGGAGACATGGGTTCAACCCCTGGGTCGGGAAGATCCCCTGGAGAAAGAAATGGCAACCAACTCCAGTATTTCTTGCCTGGGAAATCCCAGGGACAAGGCAGCCTGGCGGGCTACAGTTCATGGGGTTGCAAAGAATTCATGGGGTTGCAAAGACAGGATTAAGCAACTAATGCTCTCACTTTCTTTTCCATGAGAATAATACAGTGTCTCCAAGATCACAACAGGTTGGGCAATGCTGTGGCTGCCCCATCAGACTACCGTAATGGTTAAAATCTGAGTTCTGGGGTCAGATAAGTCTGGGTTCCAACCCCAACCATCCTCCCGTCACCCACAGCAATCACATGGCGTCTGTGAGTCTCCCCAGGCACTCCAAGCACAGGGACCTCTTTCACTCCTTTGCCGGGAATTTTCTTTTTACAAACGTCGCTCTCTCTCTTCAAGGGTCAGCTGAGATGTCACCCTTTCAGAGAAGTCCCTCCTTACCACTAGCGTAAAAGAGTGATGAGAGCCTATCACAGCACCTATGCTCTGCACGCCCTTCCAGCTCATGGGGTTTTATTCGCCTGCATAATCCATATTACCATTGACTCATTCTAGGTTTCCATGTTTCTCTTTTTTGTCTAGCTCCCTCACTGAAGGTAAGATCCTGCTATGAAGGCAGAGGTTCTTTTATACTCATTGCTAATTCCCCATTACCTAGAACAATGCCAGGCTGTGGTAGTTAACACTCAACAGTGACTGAACAAACAATGCTTGCAAGTTGCATAACCTCGGGCATGTAACTAATGCTCTCTTTTTCTCAGTTTCCTCGTCTGTGAGATGGAAGTAACATAGTGACTACCTCAGAAGGTAGTCGAGGGTTAACTAAGATAATGCACATAAAGTACTCTACTGATTTACAGTAAGTGTATTTGTGTGGTTGTTGTGGTTGTTATTACTATTGCTATAACAGGTATTGTCTTAAAATTCAATATGCTAAGGCTTTGTGATATATTAAATGAATCCACTTAATTACACCGAGTATGTTTTTCATACAATCTCAATTTGTTCACCTGTACTGAAGTCACCAGGGTCTTGTACTTTCAGGCTCTTGTACTTTCAGGCTCTTTTCTATTAAAACACTAAGAGAAATATACAGTTTATACAGTCTCTAACACTGATGTGGAGCTGGGTCATGAAAACCGTTTTGTCGATATAAACAATTCAAACTCTCTAGATATTACAGTTGCTAATGTCTACTTTCTGTCCAAGCCAGTTTTCTAAACATATCATACCCCCCACATTGAACATGGCCATTATCAAGCTAAGTGAGTTAACATTCATGAACTAGCTCTAGTTCTCTGAAAAATCAGAGCTGAAGAAGATCAGATTTGCCAGCAGCTCTGCTGTGTCCTGCATCCACTTCTTCACCAGGTCACTTGGTGGCTTACACACATACTGAGTGTGTAAGCATATATCAGCATCGGAGCTGAATGTAGGAGTTAACCACTGCCTTTCTCTGACATGTCCATAAAAAGTTGATTCAATAGACATTTCACACATGAAATCAATTCCTGATGTCCAATTTCATGTCAAGAAAAGTTCACTGAAATTCACATTATAATCATGATAGTATGCTTTAAATAATTCTCTGTCCTCTCCAAGTGTACCAGCTCTCTGTTTTCCTAACGAGGGAAAAAACACTACACAGAGGGCAATCACAGCAGGGCCAGCATGGGGCAGGGGTGGTGGCAGTGCTGTGGATGGGAAGAGGCACAGGGTCTGGGTCCCAAGCACGAAGTTTCTCCATCCCTAGCAGGGTTACTCAAACTCTCCATGCATGCTTCCGCCTCTGTTGTCTGGGGTGGTAACAGTACATACTCAGCGGGCTGTTATGAGAAATGAGTGTGCTAATGTATCTAAAGACCCAGGACAATGCTCGGCACACAGTAAGTGCCCCCCAAAACACAGCAGTAGCAGCAGCAGCAGTACAAATAAAATAAAAAAGAAATCAGTCAACAGACATGAAGAGCAGGGTTGTGGTTGCCACGGTGGGAGTGTGGGCTGGGAGTCTGGGATTAGCAGATGCAAACTACTGTATACAAGATGGATAGACAACAAGGCCTCACTGTATTTATAGCACAGAGAACTATACTCAATATTGTGTGATAAACCATAATCGAGAAGAATATGTATGTATAACTGAGCCACTACTGTACAGCAGAAATTAATATAACATTGCAAACCAACTGTTGTTGCTCAGTAGCTCAGTTGGATCACCTGTGACCCCACTGACTGCAGCCCACCAGGCTCCTCTGTCCACAGGATTTCCCAGGCAAGAACACTGGAGTGGGCTGCCATTCCCTTCCCCAGGGGATCTTCCCGACCCAGGGATCAAGCCCATGCCGCCTGAGTCTCCAGCACTGACAGGTGGACTCTTTACCATCTGAGCCACCAGGGAAGCTAAAATCAACTATATTTCAACAAATTAAAAAAAAAATCAGTGGTCAGGATCTTCTCATAAGATATATAGAAGGAAGCCTGTTTTAGAAGTACTTTCTTCTAC